CAACGTCTTTCCATAAAACCAAATTTACATACATAAAATAGCAAAGGATAAAAAATAACTAAAAGATATCGCACATGATCCAGCGATAATTTCTCTAGAAGTCTTTCTGGTTCTGACTTCAAGATGCTGGAGAAGCTCACTTCCGAAGTAAGCAACTCTGCCGACTGGCTTACTGTCGGAGTCACAGTGGTGGTGGAAGCTCCCTTCTCACCAGAACGCCCTGCGATCCTGAGCTTCTCGTTGAAGTCTGGGCCAAGAGAGAAGCGAGTGGTAGGGAAAAGGTAAAGAGACGGCTGGCGAACTCTCAGATGATACAGCAGGCCAAGGCGATTATCATCTCGCAGACGCGGAAAGCCTTCGATGCTAGACACTGATGAGTCGTTCGAAAAGGGTTGGGAATGAGTCAACTCAAGCCGAAGTAAGTCTTCCAGCCGCCCGAGCATTTCATTATGTTGGTTGAGTAAGAACTCAATGAACGGACGAAAAATATCAGAAGCTGTGCATGTTTGTTAATGCGAGAAAGGGTGAGAAAAAGTGAGTTGAAAGTTCGTTAATCCTTTGAAACCAGTTCTCTTGAATTATTATATAAAACATTTTAAATTTTCATATTATTAAATTCATTTTATTAAAGGTATTCTATCACTGAAAAGTATGAAGGGTAATAAGATCAAAAATAAGAAAGCTTGAATAGCAGTTAAAATAGTATCAATGCCAACACGACTTTCTACCAACACAGGTTGAAATGCGTAGGTGTAGTGGATTAAAACGCTTTCCAATGGGGCCACCAAAAAGAGTGTTGCCAGGCTGAACTTATAGACGATTCTTTCTTTTAAATTGCGTAAACCCAGCTCCCATGTTCCGACTCATAAAACTCATGATTTTAACTAGTTCCCTAGAGACATGTTATTTCATATTGAATGATAAAGTGTAGGAGAAAACTATTAAATACATATTATGCAGTTTAAAATAGTGTGTCACTCTAGTAAAGCAAATTGTGAGGGGCTAGCTAAGAATAGCAGAGAAGACTTTAAATTGACAGAGTCTTGCTTTCCCCAAAAAAGTCTCATAATTTCGATGGAACTGCAAGTTAAATCTTGCACTCTCAGCTAGTCGTGCGCACACTAATAACATTGGCAAATAGCCACTTGTTATCGCTCAAATACTTTATGTAGAAGACTCCGCTGATGAGACCCAATCAGGTCAAATTTAGATAAAGAAGTATTTTGAAAAACATGGATAAGTGAGAGTCAACTGAAGATATATATTTTCGTGGGCTACTCATTGACAGCCAAAAGGTTGAAGGGATCATCAAATTTTGATGCGATTCTGTTTTCGAATTTTGAAAAAAGATTTTATCAAGAGCATAGTAATTATAAAAATTCCGTAAATAAAAGTTTGCGCACAATCAATAATAATCATATTTAGAA